TTTGTTACTTTAATTGTATTTAAATGTCACCTTTTTGTTGATAAAGAACACAAAGCAGTGGGCAGTGTTGATCCATACATTTTAATTGGATTTTCTGAGTGATACTGAATAGCCACCCTCTTTTTACGACTGAGATTGTTCTAATGTCACAACAAGCCAGCATTTGCTCAGAAACAATTCAGCGTGCTGACTGCCACTTTCCATTTGCTCTTGCTTGCAGAGAGAGATGCTAAACAGGCTGTGGAAAAGATGGTGTTTGTTTTATGTGGCACGTGAAATTGGCAGATGCCTGATGTTCTTGCTTGTTTCCCTCATAAAATCAGAAGAAGAATCCAGGGTTGATTTTTGGCTTCTTTCTCTGGTTTATTGGGAAAGAACGAAGCTTTCCCAACATGGAGATTTGAGGTCTTCAGACAATGGGAATGATAGAATTTTACACAGATCTGTTGAGCAGTGTTTACAACGGGCAATTTGACCAGGTCTGGGAGCTAGGATAAGCTTGGGATAATCTCAGGATTTGCAGGATTCTTGGCTTACCAAAAATATTCAGATGTGCCCTCCCATCCCAGCCTGTTTCAAAAGTGAATTGCTGTTTTTGGAGACTTCTAAGATCAAAGTTCATATTTTTGGCAAGATAATAATCTTTTTGGTGGCTGCTCACAGACTCTGGACCTCCCTCTCTAGAGAAACCATTATGCCTCATCTCTGTTTTTTTCTTCACATTTTCCCCTGCCATTGTGCATTCATGAACTTATGAGGGCAGCGCTTCCTCAGGACAATTGATTGTGATTTTTGGGAGGTTGTGCAGTTTTAATGTATTTTAATGTTTGATGGTTTTAAAGACTTCAATGGTTTCATTGTTTTTTAAATTCTTACATTTATATTAGCAATGCCCAGGTTAGGGATTTTGTAAAGATAATCAATAGAAGTAGTCATTGTTTGGTTTTCGGTGTTATGAATGGATCCATTAGAAAACACATAAGGATGTGGGTGAACTACAACTCCCATCATCCCAGGGCAACCCCCCCCCCCCAACTCCACCACTATGTGAAATTGGTCATGATGGGTATGTGTGCCAAGTTTGGTCCAGATTCATCATCAGTGGAGTTCACCGTGCATTTCACATATGAGTGAACTATAACTCCCATCAACATCTGTCATTGCTCCCCAAACCATGTCAGTAGTTGAAGTTGGTCATGGTGGGTCTATGCACCAAGTTTGGTTCATTGTTGATGGGATTCACAGTGCACTTTTCATGTGGGTGAACTATAACTCCCATCTTTCTCTGACATTGTCCCTTAGATCCCACCAGTTCTTACAGTTCGTCTTTTTGGGGGGTGGGGGGGGCATGTGTCAGACTTGGTCTAGATCTGTTGTTGGCAGGAGTCACAGGGCTCTCTGGATGTGAGAGCCATCTTGAAAAATACATGCAAACATGGGTAGATACATATATACTTCTGTTCTTTGTTTGCCTGGCTAGGTCAGTTTTGCCTTGTTTAACAGTGCAGCATATACTAAGGCTATCTATGAGGACCACCTGCATCCCTCTGGATAAGCCCAGATCATATTTAGCATTGGAGGACATGCTTTCTGGACCCCAGGAAGAGAGCTCAAGTTATGGAGGACAGAACCTTTTTAATTGTGGCCAATCAATTTTGGAACTCCTTCCCCAGTGAACTTTGGCCCTCTCTTTCCTGGTAAAAATATGATTGACTTTTCATAGTTTGCTATGATTGACTTTTCATAGTTTGCTATAGCTTCATAGTTGATCCTCTGTGCTGTAATCTGATGCTGTTTTATGGATTGTTTTTGTTTCAAAGTTCTTAATTCTAGCTTCTTATCTGGTAAACTGCCTTCTAAATGCCTGTCCCTGAAGGACAGGATAAAAATAACTTTATAAATCAATATAAATAATGGTAATTTCAGGTTTTTACTCTATGCTGACCATTTCTATTCCATTTACTTGTGCCAAATGAAATAATTGGGGCTATATTATATGTAAGTGTCAAGTTGTTGAAATGCTTACTGATTATATGGCCTTTTTAATTGGGTTCTGGAAGGATGCTCTCTTGTTAAGAGTACTTCCTGTACATTTGTATTACTCTTTAACAACGTTTTTGTAACTTCATTTCTAATACATCACAAAAAGCCTTGCTCCAGAGATTCTTGCATACAGAAGTTTATACTGACTGCTACAGAGGTGATGGGTGGGATTTGAGTTTACTCCTTTCTTCCTCTCTTTGATAGTCTTGCCCACAGCACTGTTCGACATGTGATATTGGGGTGGCACCTGCAGATTAAATCCATGCATGGAAGCCTATTTCTTGAAGGCACGGGGCATAATATTGGAGTAATGTTTTGCTGAGACCTCCAGGTTTCCACTAAAATTCAGGACCTGTATCTGGGAAGCAGTGGAAAAAAAGGAACAAGCAGCAGCGCTAAGATTAAAATGCTTGTGCAGAAATGCTTGACTAATTTTATTTTAGATTTCTCATTCTCACAATCCCTTAGGCTCAGGCTTAGTAACAATTTAAAAATGTAAAACTTAACATAATTTAAATGTGAAGCTCTTCTCTCTCTTGAGTGCTCTGGGCAGGCAACAATAATTTGAAACAGACATAACATGGGTATTTTTGAAATTCGATTTAAAAACAGAAGAAATGTTGGAGCTGTTCTCCTTTTTAAAAACAGTTAAAAGGTACAGCTAAAGTGCCCTTATTATCCACAGACACTAAATGCTGACACATTAGAAATGGAGACTTATCTTGATGGTCCTCCAGAGAGATGGAGGCCAGCGTACTGTTGCTTATGAACCGACTGTTCTGAGCCGTTTGGAGCTTGAAAGGCATGGATCGAGATGGATGGAGGGTTGGCACATGGAGACACTCAGGTGCAGGCTGAGGGTTATATTAAAGACCACAAGAGAGTGTCTGCTTAGCACATTGCCAGGTTTGCGTGCTGAATGCCCATTGTGGATCATCTGACTCCATGTGCTAGGTGAGCATGCCAAATGACCCAATTATTTTGCTACCAAAAATGGAGTGTGTTTGGCATTTGCTGATAACATTGTTATAGGTGTTGTGATGCTTAAAAAAACAGAAAGTAATTTAACCAATGCTCTTAACATAACATTGTGTGTGTCTGTGCATTAATATTGAATAGGTCCAAGAGTAGGTCTGTTGCTGTTGATCTTTCTTGTATCCTTCTCTCATCAATGAAATACCAACTTGTGACCAACTGTTTTGGAGTACTTGTGGTTCCTAAAATACAATTTTAAATGTTGATGATGTTCTTTTTGTTTGGTTAGATTCTATGAAACTTTATGTTATACTTTCATCGAGATACAAGTAGAGTGAGAAAGAAGAGGCATACATGCTGATTTCCATCATTGCCCCACTCCCATTTTTTTGGTAGGAAGAATAATAATAATATTTGGGTTGTTGTAGGTTTTTTCAGGCCATATGCCCATGTTCTAGAGGCATTCTCTCCTGACATTTCGCCTGCATCTATGGCAAGCATCCTCAGAGGTAGTGAGGTCTGTTGGAACTAGGAAAATGGGTTTATATATCTGTGGAATGACCAGGGTGGGACAAAGAACTCTTGTCTGTTGAAGCTAGGTGTGAATGTTTCAACTGACCACCTTGATTAGCATTTGATGGCATGACAGTGCCTGGGGCAATCTTTTGTTGAGAGGTGATTTAAGATGTCCTTGTTTGTTTCCTCTATTGTTTTGCTGTTGTAATTTTAGAGTTTTTTTTTAAATACTGGTAGCCATATTTTGTTCATTTTCATGGTTTCCTCCTTTTGACAATACATAATAATATTGATTTATATCCTGCTTTTTCTCTCCACAAGGAAACTCAAAGCTGCTCCTCTTGGATTTGGTAGCATATTATATAGGTGGCTGGATGCTAATTGAATTTGCATTCATGAATTTTGTCTCATCCCTGTAAAATCTGCCTGAGCCAATGGCCATTACCATATTTTGTGGCTCCAGATTTCATGAGTTAGTTCAATATTATGAAAATCAGTTTTTCTTTTTTTTCTCCTATGCGCCTATTGTCCATCAATTCAATTGACCATGTTTTATTTGGTGAGAGCACACTAATTTCATTTCATGCATTTATACCTTTTATACCCTTGTTGTAAGTACCTATCTCTTCCCTGGCTCCACTGAAATGACTTTGTGCTTATCAGAAACCTCATGCCCTTGTTTTGCTGCAGTTAGCAGTGAATAAATAAGAGTTCTCAGACATGAAGGAGAAAAAAAAACTATCTGCTGTCTCTGCACCATGAATAATATTATAAACCTCTTTCACATTCTACTCTTTATTTGCATTTCCCCTGAACTCAAAAAAGCTCAGTATGAAAGTGATTGATGCTTTCCAGCCAAGTGACCTCCCTTGGTCTTGATTTAAACCATTCCAGGTAGAATTTTGCTTCTTCTTTTTAAAAAATAAACTTGGTGATAACTCTAATTGCATAATTTATATCATGGTTGTTCCTGTCATCCGTATCCACACAAAGTTAGGTGTGCTTGTCAGATGTTTTCTGTCATTATTTTACTATGGCTAGGATTGAATAACCATTTTTTACTTTTTGGTCTGGCACTAATTCCACATGATAGCATTTATTTTAGTTATTTTAAGATGAAAATCATGACCATTGTTTGTATTACCATTATTACAGGAAAATAAGAGTAATTGTATTTCAAGCTTTTCATAATTCTTACAGTGCTTATATATATTTAACTGGAAATCCTATTGTGTCATCGTGTACTTCCTATCTAGTAAGGGTCTTAGGACTGCAGCTGGAATTATGTTCATGAATTTTGTGTAGCTGGAGTTTTATTTTCCTGCATGAGCCTTCTTATTATCTTTCTCATGTGAGAAGACATAGGAATTAAACAAGTTTGCTGCTTTCACAAGCTGTTTATAAAGCTGGTAACTCCCAATCTTTTCACAATGAGGATTTCATTTCTTTTTCTTTCTGTTCAACAGGCTAAAAACTTGGACTTCCGTCGGAAGTGGGACAAAGATGAATATGAGAAACTTGCAGAGAAACGTCTTACAGAGGAGAGAGAAAAGAAAGATGGTTAGTCACATTTTATCTATGAGATGGCACAGGTTTATTTCATTAAACATCACTGTATGCAGAGAATACAAGTAGAGATGATACAACCAACTTCATCTCCTGTTCCTTTATAAAACCTCCTTGATGTTCTTACTCTGCCAAACAAAATTATACAACTTTCTTTCAGAAACAGGGGAATTAAAATTAACTGAAAGAACTGAAATTCTCCACAAAGGAAAAACAATGTTTTATTGCTGTGTTACAGGCAAGCCAGTACAACCTGTCAAGCGCGAGCTTCTTCGGCACCGAGATTACAAGGTGGACCTGGAATCCAAACTGGGGAAAACCATTGTTATCACAAAGACGACCCCTCAGTCTGAGATGGGCGGGTGAGTCTTTTATAGCTTTTGCTATTCTAATTCCTATATCAGTTTTACAGAGGGGATAGATTAATTAAACATTTGTGTGGTTCTTCTTCTGTCTTGCATCTGTGCTTTGAAGCTATGGCCAGGTGTATAAGGACCATCTGATTATGTTCAAATAGGTCAGAGGTGATGGTAGTCTTTCTAGATCAAGGAGGACACAGATTTTCTTTTGATTGATGGAGTTGTAATTTCCTCCTCAGATTAGGTACATATCTTGGATGAGTTTTGATCAAACAGTTGCCATTAATGCCGTCTATCAATTCCTACAAAGCACCTAAAAATAGTACGAACCTATAGTTCAGGCATTGGCAAATTTCAGCCCTCCAGGTGTTTTGGACTTCATCTCCCACAATTCCTAACAGCTGGTGTGCTATTAGGAATTGTGGGAATTGAAGTCCAAAACACCTGAAGGGTCGAAGTTTTCCCCTGCTATAGTTTCTGAATTTTTAGGCATGATGACTGCAATATACTTAATATGAGGCTGCTCTTGAAGCTAACGTAGAACTTATAGCTAGTGTGACTTGATAAAAATTCTACATCCTCATGGATGTGAAGAATTGCAAACATATCCAGCCAGCTTTATTCTAACTCTCTTAGCTGCAAATATGTGAGTTATAATGTACCAAGGGTCATCTAGTCCAGTGGTTCTCAACCTGTGGGTCTCCAGATGTTTTGGCCTACAACTCCCAGAAATCCCAGCCAGTTTATCAGCTGTTAGGATTTCTGGGAGTTGAAGGCCAAAACATCTGGGGACCCACAGGTTGAGAACCACTGATCTAGTCCAACTCCTGTATTTTCAGGAATTCACAGTCAAAGCAGTTCAGAATTTGATTCAAAGTGTTGGGATTCATATATAAAGTCTCATATGACCCCACATATTTCTTTATAGTGTTTTTCCCCACTTTGTAGTGCATGTGTGCACATGTATTCACACGACTCTTTCACACCATTTTCACTGGGGAGAGTGCCTACCAGATGCTGTTTGATTGCAGTGTCCAATGGGCCTTATCACTAGTCATGTTGGCTAGAGCTGTTGGGAAAGTCGCTCAACAACTTCAGGAAGGGCTCATGTTCCCCGACCCTTTCTTTAAACTAATTTATTTTATAGATAACCACATTAACTATGTGGGGTAAATTGTAGGGATGATAAGGAAATATGATGCATATCTTCAGTTTTATCATATTTATTTACTGTATCGATATAAGTATCTTATTTTAACTTACTACATAGAGTGTAATCAAGTCTTATCAAGCCTTTTTGTTTGATTTGGTAGTGTGATATGGCCTAAGGGCTAATCAATAAAATTATTATTATTCCAATAGTTTGGGAATCAAAGGAAAAAATCCACCGGACACATAAAGCCTTCCAATTCTGGGCAAATGTGCAAACTATTTTGCAAAAGTGATCCAGAAATTTGCAGTACCTGATCACTTTCTGTCCTCAATGTCCTTGTGTTTTGAGCATTTTGGGTCTTGGTTAATAGGTTACAAAACCCAACCCTTTGAGTTTAGCATGAAATACACATGAAATATTCCATTGTAGTAATAATTAAATGGATGGGTGTCAGTGAATGTTTAGTAGAGGGTTGAGGGGAAAATATGATTTGTGCTTGTAATAATAGGAACTTTCAGGATATTATTACTCTGAGTAGCAACACTGAGCGCTGTCAGGAAAGAGACATTGCAGCTTCTGCTGTTGACCTATTTCTGAATGTTCAACAATATTGATTACGTTGCCTTTATATGCTACCCACCTCAAATAGATTGAAGACAAAGCATCATGTAAAATGAGTTTCATAACGGATTTGGGAATTCATAAACTATTTTTTTCTTTATCTTAGGTATTATTGTAATGTCTGTGACTGCGTAGTGAAAGATTCCATCAACTTCCTGGATCACATCAATGGCAAAAAACGTAAGGATAACTTTTTTCTCACATGGAAAAACTAGATATCTCCTTAAGTGTGAGACAAGGAAATGGCTGAGAGAGGAAGCCCAGATAAGAGGTGGCAAAAGTGGTATAAAAATAAACTGATAGTGATGATGATAATTTAATATGTTATTTGTGGTCTTGGCTAAAAGAGGAAAATACCCAGAAGCAGCCCATACACACTGATCCACATAAGTGGAAGGGTAAAGGTTGCCCTACCTACTAAGTATTGCCACCTTTCACTCTCTTCTTTGTTACTCCTTGTATTTAAAGTAATACTAGATTTGTGTTACTTAATGGAGTGGGAAGAAGGAGCTGCGAGGGAGAGAAGGAAGCAAGAGGAAGCAAAGTGAGAAAGTAAGGGAAAGCGTGGCAAGTATGTAAACAAGAGAGAGATATATGCCAACACAGTATGTGGTAAGCCAGGTAGCAAGGAGGAAGTAAGCAGCAACAGGCAGGAAATTCTGAAGCTCAGGCACGTGGGCAGGAAATAAGTAAATGTAGGTAGCAATGTAGGTAGCAATGGCACAGACATAAGGAGAAACAGTGGATTCCTTCCTTGTTGGGTTGGTGAATGGTGTAATTCACTGCCTCTGCTATTTCACCCTCCTAATGGATGAAATGGCTTTGAAATTCCTTTTGGCAGCCTTCAAACAACCAAATGTTAATAATTAGTAGTTGTGGTTTTCTTTCAGCCTGTTAATTCCTTGCTGGGGCATCCCAGAAGTTATGAAGATGCTCTTGATGTATTTGATAACTTCCCCACAAAAGTTCTTCTCTCTCCTTCCCAATGTAGTAGTGAAGCATCGGGAGAGTTGGCATGGAGATTTTGGGCTGAGTCCTATAATTCCTTACTAGAATAGATTCATTCAATAACTTGTCAAACGGTCAGTCAGTACTTAGAAAAATCTCACTGATTCACGTCTGCTATAGTTTGGACTAGCAGCAGATTTTAGGGCATGAACTAACATGCCTCTAATATTTCTTATAATATTCATGGTGCAGTTTCTTCTTGCCATATAATCTCACACCTTTCTCAAATATAATTTGATAGTAGATTCAGAAGCTGAATTTGTCACAAAAAGACAGGAGGAATGCCATGTCAGGGGATAGCCTTGATTTATCATTGTTGCTTCATTGTTACCACAGAAGCCTAAAACTTTGGGACACCTCAGCCAATGTATTAACTTTACTGAGTGATGAGAGCAACTGAATATACTCTCCACAAATTTTGATACAAGGACTCTTGGCTCTTTCAAAACTAGAGCTCAGTGGCTTTCATTCATATGTTCCTAGCTCTGAGCACTATGATGTATTTTGATCTTGTTAAAGTAGATATCAGCAAAATCATTGGAAGCACATTTTTGGAAGGCACAGTAGGTCATTGGAAGCACAAACAAATTTGTCTTTAATGTTTACAGTTAACATAAGAGCCTAGTGAATTTTGAGTCAATCTTTTATTTCATCTTGTCCAGTGCTCTCACGAGATTCCCAAGATCTCATTCATGAGCACATAGTCCGGCTGCACTACTTGACATATTTAACACAACATGGTGTAGTCAGTGGTTTGACTATTGGGCAAAGACACTGGGCGATCGACGTTCAAATCCCCACTCAGCAATGGAAACCTACTGAGTGACCTTTGGCAAATCAATCTCTCAGCCTCAGAGGAAGGCAAGGACAACCCATTTGTGAACAAACTCTGCCCAGAAAATCATGTTATGGGTTTGCCTTAAGGTCACCATAAATCAGAAATGACTTGAAGGTGCACATTGACACTCCTTTAATACAGAAGCCTGTTTCGTGTAAAGTATGTGTTGTGCTTTTGAGCAATGGCCTTTCTCCAGGAGCTTCCTGTGATCTTTCAGCTACGGTTTATGGTCCCTATACTGCTTCAACTGCAGTTTATAGTCCAGATTTTAATAATAATAATAATAATAATAATAATAATAATAATAATAATTTTATTTCTTACCCACCTATACTCATGATTCGAGGCAGGGCAGAGCATAGTTTTAAAAAAACTCCTAGAAATCCCAGCCAGTTTACCAGCTGTTAGGAATTGTGGAAGCTGAAGTCCAAAACATCTGGAGGAGCAGAGTTTGAGAAATGCTCCGGTCGATGGTAACTGTCAACTGTACTAGTCAGAGGCTTTGTCTGTGTAGCATTCATTATTTGGAGAAGTTCACTTCCTACAGAAAATTGGATTATTATGTTTCTGAACTCGCCTAAATATTTGCTATATTGTGAACACACCTGAAGCTTGTCATGTAGAACCAAATTCCTCATGGTGCCTTGAAAGTAGACCCTTCTTCAGAGGGAACTATGGGGAAGGCTGTTCCTCCTCACCAACAATAGATCTCTTAAAGGGGAAGAGTACCTGCTCATTTATTTGCCAGTTGGTGTCTTGGATGCAAACATCTCTCAAGGTTCAGAAGCTAGAAATGAGAGATAGAGTTGATCCAACATGCAGAAACAGTACACAAACAGCTTGTCCCATGAAATCTTTTTGATTATGTTATCTGATAGTCAACCATAGAGAAGATCTCGGAACGTGCTCCAGTTGGACTATTTCCACCATCTTTCTTTAATTGTTCTGTGAGAAGTCACAAGAAAGCTAGGTCTGTAAGCAAGGGGAACCCAGAGATTTCTACAGCTGAAGTGTCTCTTGCTATCAGGCCACCTGCAGTATAGAAAAACAAATCTGTGTGGTGTATTTTTTATTTTGTTTGATTGGAATTGGAATTTAATATCTTTAAAATTAAGATAGAAATAAAATAAATAATAAACACTTTGTAGAGTTAATACACTTTTCTGTTTCTTTGAATTTTTACATGCTGTGTTTTGTTTCCTTGTGGGCCATCCAGTCCAACCCCCTGCCAAGAAACAGGAAAATTGTATTCAATGCACCCCTGACAGATGGCCCTTCCAGCCTCTGTTTAAAAGCCTCCAAAGAAGGAGCCTCCACTACACTCTAGGGTAGAGAGTTCCACTGCTAAACAGCTCTCACAGTTAGAAAGTTCTTCCTCATGTTCAGGTGAAATCTCCTTTCCTGTAGTTTGAAGCCATTGTTCTGCATCCTAGTCTCCAGAGCAGTAGAAAACAAGCTTGCTTCCTCCTCCCTATGACTTCCCTTCACATATTTATACATGGACATCATGTCTCTTCTCAGCCTTCTCTTCTGCAGGCTCAACATGCCCAGCTCTTTAAGCCGCTCCTCATAGGGCCTGTTCTCTAGGCCTTTGGTCATTTTAGTCGCACTTCTCTGGACACGTTCTAGCCTGTTAACATCTCCCTTCAATTGCAGTGCCCAGAACCACATTTCAGGTGTGGTTTGACCATGAATGAATAGAGGGGTAGCATGACTTCCCTGGATCTTTCCCTATCCTACCCAAAGTGGGGAAGCCACAACACAGAGGAAGCCATCCCACCTAGTGCTGGTTGCAGGGAATTCTCTGTGGATGATGTGGGCAGGTGACTTTATTCCTGCTTTTTCTTCCCAGTAACCGGTTATGCACAGGAAACCTCAACCAGGGGTGATGGGATCCTTTGAAGCAGGAGAGAGAAAGGAGAAGCGAATCAAGCAAGATATAGATAAGCAAGCATACTGACTTTTCCCATTGACTTTTCCCATTGATCAGGATGGGAAAGTCTTCTTAATTTCCTGCCTGTAGTTGGAGATGATGGTGGGATTTCCTGGCACATCTCCTGCTTTGCCATTTGGGAAGTGTGCAACGGACTCTCCTGAGCTGGTGGTAGTGACTTTGCAGAGAGACTGCTTCGGGAGCCTCCTTGAGCCAGTTTAACAAATTTCCTTTCCCTGGAGAAAAGGCATATTTACACTTGTAAGATTGTTGTCCTTCCTTTTACTTCAATATAGAAGCCAAATGATCTGATGAAAAAGTGCAGAGAAGGCTGTGTCCCAGATCCATACTGACTGCACTGTACGTGTGGATTACATATTGATGCATATCAACTGCATTAAAAAGTGTTTAACAGATATAGATTGGCAAGGCAGGTACTTAAGCAGGAGATCAACCTTTTGTTCCCATTTCCATGACGTACAAAGCTAGCAAGCACAGTTGGCCTCATCCCACTTGAGGCATACAGCGTACAAATTTCACCTTCATAGTCATGCTGTGTGTTTTAAAAAGGCATCTTTTTATGGAAATCCTCCCTGCAGTCATGAAAAGGATTTCATCTCAAGTCCAGAAGGCTTAGAGTCAGTTGTTAAGTGTTATGAGCTCCAGCCACATGGGACCCAGTTGTTGTTTGCTATGCATTGTTGAATACTGGCTAGGGTGAGGCTGGAGGTAATCAGGAAGGGAAGGGAAGCAGGAGAGAGTTCTTTCCCTCCTTTCCTGCTGTGTCAATCAAGGTCTCCAGCTTTGAGCAGGCTATTAATTAAGAACTTGGTAATCACAATTGCCTATCCAAAATTAACTCGCAGATTCACATGTGGAGAAAACGTTACCTGTTTGTACAAGAGTGTGGCTGAGCTTTGGCTCAAGAAATTCACAGCGCTGGTCCATGCCTTTTTTTTTTAGATCAGAGGAACCTTGGTATGTCCATGAGAGTAGAGCGCTCTACATTGGATCAAGTGAAGAAGCGCTTTGAAGTGAACAAGAAAAAAATGGAGGAGAAGCAGAAGGATTATGACTTCGAGGAGAGGATGAAGGAGCTCAGAGAAGAGGTAAAGTGCTGCCCTGAACTAATAAGCTTGACTAGAAAGAAATAACATCTCATTTTTTTGGCTTTCCATCATGATGAGACTGCCAAAGGATTCTATCTGTTATAAAAGTGGGTGTTCTGCCATTTCTTTTTCTTCTGTTCCAGCATCTCTGTAATGGTCCTTGAGATCCACATCTTAGTGCCAATATGAGTTTATTCACCTTCTTGAAATGGCCACCTTGCCTTCCTGCTTTTTAGTGCTTAGATAGAGAGGCGAATTGCCTGGAGAAAAAAGAAAAGAAATCCCTGTGCTAGTCTCGTCCATACAGCAGTGGCCTGCAGGTGGCATTAAAGATTTTTCCCATTGTAGTTCGTTCCATCTGCAGCAGCCTCCTGAGGTTGTATATGAGGAATTTCGAGGACATTTTATCACATGCATAGATAAAAGCCTTCTCTTTCCTCCCATAGATGGACAGACTGGGGCTCGGTTTGTCTCCCCTTGTCAGCAGAGGCAGCTTCTATTTTTTAATGTCAATTTCACTGGAAGCTGCAGTTGGGGGAAGGTCTTGAGAGGATTTCCAGGAGTCGCAGAAGAAGCCTCAGTGCCATCTGTAACTACTTATCCTCCCAGAAGCAGAGTAAATCATTTATTTACTTAACTCATTAACTAATGCATGCACATTTACATATTTTATTCAGGTTGTAGAACCCATTTTCCCCTGCCTCATATTGTTAACATTTAGTGTAGATTGTACATTCCTCCCTATAGGTTCCAGCAAAGACTAGAGGAAGATCCTCCTCAGATGTCCTCAAATCAGTAACGTGTGTCAATATAAGATGCTTCCTTTTGAAGAAGTAGACTTGATCTACGGAAGCTATCACACCCTTTCCCCCCTGCTCTGAGGCAGTGCCAGTGTCCCTTGTTTTGGTACCACCCCTTAGTGAAATTTTCAGTAACTCTTTGCTTACCTTACCGTTTGATTGTGTTTGAAGAGAATCAAGTGCTCACCAGTTTGGGAAAATGAAACTGAAAGGTCATATAGGGAAAGCATTCCAGCTTACCCTTCATGTCTTAGTAAAAAAAGTCAGAGGGGAACTGGCTGAGTAGGAGTGATCTGTATCATGCTAAAAGAAGACTAGATTTCCAACATGCCTGAAAGAGGCTGTTGTAAGACATTTGTTGAAAAAGCCCACCGTGTTGGACAACTACCAGCTAATTTCCAGTATTCTATGTTTGGGAAAGATACTGGAGTATGTGGTGGCACCCAACTCCAGGGATTTTTGGATGAGATGGATTATCTATATTAATGTCTATCTGGTTTCAAACATGGCTCTGGGACAGAGATGACTTTGGTTGCCTTGGTGGATGTCTACACTGGATATGGCTGTAAGGATCCGGAGAGTTATAGAGACTTTAATTTTCAGTTGGCATACTATACGTATGGATGCTTTCCATCTCTGAATTCTGTTACAAGGATCTTGAAGACTGGTATCATTCCATATAATTTGATCATTTGTACTACTATTGTGGACAGTGTTGTAGATCAGAACCTGCCTTGGTACTGTTCACCTTGATACTGAGTAGAGTAGACTAAGTTCTTTGACTTGGTGTGGACCAGCATTGTATTTGACTCAGCCCAAGCCTCCTGCACATTGTTCACCTCCAGTGGTGCTGCTTCAGACTTGGCTGCCGGTATTGTCTCCAGAGACAAGGGTGACACCATGTAATTCTATCTCACCAGTCCATGTAGGTGAAAGTTAATTAGGGAGTCATCACATTCTGATGAGTTGGACTCAGGAATCTTTGCTTCCCTCTTCTGGGGTTTCCCAATGTGATTCCACTCTTCCTTTGCCTTGACTGTGCCTTGCCAAACAATGAGGTTGGGGCTTTCCCAGAACAAACGTTGAGAATGGTGAATCCTTGGACTTGGAAGTGAAATAGCAAGTATCTGAGCCATCTGATCTTATATACGGGCAGATTCAAAAGTACTAACACCAGGGTTGATTCCTCTGTTGCTGCTCCTTCTGCAAATAATAATAATAATAATAATAATAATAATAATAATAATAATAATAATTATTATTATTATTATTATTAAATGGCACAGATGTCCTGGCATCATCAATCTAGTTCACCTCTAAAGCAGGATTGGATTGCCTTTTGCAACACCCTAAGCCCCATTCAATCATCATGGGAACTGCTGAGTCCAAGTCCCTTCTAAAGAGGTGCAAGACACCTGCAAGTGGAGATGGCAAGAAACTTGACCCTATGGCATCTGTGTTCTGTTCAGCTGCTACTCTCTCATTGAAAACTGCTACAATGCTTACATGGGAGTTTACCAGCAGCTCCTGGAGGAGGAGAGATGTCCCCATTTCTTGCCAATCTTCCTGAGGACGACAGATGGTTATCTGGACTTCTTCAGGCTGAGACCCACAGTTTGGCAGCCCAGCAGATAAATATTGCACAGCACAGTGCTAACTGTAGTGGCAAGAAGTTGGCAGGAGCCATTACAATCTTGTTATGCTTGGACAAGATAATCATCTGGGACAAATAGGTCCTTTAGCCCAGTAACATCTGTATAAACCAGAGTGGCTCCCCTCCCCTCCTCCTCATCTTAGAAAGCCTCCTCAGCTACTGGATACAAGGTCTTAACAAGACCTCAGGAACAAGGCAACCTGTGCCTTTTGACTTCTCAAGTTACATTCTTCTTATTTCTATTCCACTTTTCCACTGCAAGCTCTAGAGTTAGCATCATAACACTGGACTCCTGGATTCTTGACATAGTGCAGAAGGGCTATGCAACACAATGTTGGAATTACCACTCAATTGGGGTACTTAGTATTACTTCTCCTTCTGGTGCATTAAATGAGGAAGCCAATGCTCGTTTCCTCAAGAGTAACAAAAAACCCACCCCTATATTATCCCATACGTATTCTCCTGCTATTTTATCATGTCCAACAAAGACAGTGGACTCCTCCCATTCTTTGGTCTTTGGGAATTCAATTTCTTCACACAGCCCAAAATGGTCACTTTTGACACTGTTCTGCCCCTGTTACAGGAGAGGCATTGATTTGTGATGCTGGATTTTTTTTTAAAGAACATGCATTACTTCCATATCACGGTCTGATCACCACACAGACATTTTCTTGGTTTGCTGTGGGAAGAAGGGCCTATCACCTTTGTGTCCTCCATTCAGACTTTGAACAGACACTTGAGTCTTTACACAGTTCTTGGCAATGATAGCAATGTGATCAGTCATTTCTTTTCCATACATCAATGACTGGTGCCTTCTTGCCCATTCTTAGGCCTGCCTTCTCAATGGCATCCATTTCACACTTTGCCTTATGGAGTTGTTGGCACTCATTGTCATTCTTGAGAAATCTCATCTGAATCCATCCCAGTAGGTGAAGTTTAGTGGAACCCTTCTGGACTGCTGTGTTTCTATGGCCTTTCCACTTGATACCAGGTTCCAGGGACTTCCGAGAGCCACACTGAGATGCCAGCACAATTGTAGGGTGTGTACAGGAGCCTCAGAACGAGACCTCTGCAGACTTGTTTTTTGTCCTGTTTCAATCCTCTCATCAGCTCTCCGTGTTGTCTGTTCATTGTTGGTATGGTTGGATCTATGCAGAAACATACACCCTTGATGGTGTCCGTGATAGGATGTGGAGCTCATTCAAAAGACATTTCAGTGAAAGAGCATTGGAAGTCTGAAAAAAGCCTTCACATCATTGCTCTTACGCTGGCTCTTTTTGAGTTTCTTCTACAGGGAAAGAATATTCAGGTAGTTTCTGATAATAACATTGTGATGTACTACGTGGAAGGCAGAAATAAAATCAAGCACCTTGCTGGATCTCACACTCTGTGGGACTGGTGCTTCATTAGAAGCATCTTCATTTTGTTGATCATGTGCTGGAATTTTTCCTTTTTCTGTTGGAGGTCTCTCCCTTTTTCCCCAAATCAACTGTTACTTGGTGGCAATCTCATCTAACTTCCAGATAATCATTAAGCCTTCCTGTGTCCAGAACCCATTGGTTAAAAGGTTCCTGAAGGGTTGCAGGAACCTTCACTCACCAGTGTCAGGTTCAACATCTCAATGGAGTTTGGAGTTAGTCTTTCCCCAACTCCCCAGGAGGCCTTCTGAACCAATGGTGGCTTGGGACATCCATCTGCTTGCATGAAAGACTGCCTTCTTGGTGGCTATTATATTAGCTGGTAGGACAGGGCAATTCTATGTCTTTAGTGTGAGTTTGCCTTTCTTGCAGTGTCACAAGGACCAGTTGGTTCTTAGTATAGCCTCTAGAACATAGCCATATAGCCCGAAAAAACCCACAAGAACCTAGTGATTCTAGCCATGAAAGCCTTTGACAATACATTGCTTTTAATTTTATTGATCGTTTAATGAGTTTTAAAAACTTTTGCATGGTGGATTTTTTTAAAAAAAAAACTATCTATTTTAGGTAATCCACCTTGAGTCCTAGACTGAGGAAATGGTGTCATAATAATAGCAAGAAAGCAGGAGCAGATCTTTCTTTTAATCCAGCTAATAGCATTTTTCGCTTTCACAAATCAAACCATGATTTTGATCTCTTGGTATCTGTGTCTGGCTGCTCTGCAAGAGTCTTATGGTGCCACTGCATATTGGGATAGCTGTGCAAAGAGAAGAGTCCTTTAAGCTTCAGTAGCCTCCACAGCTGCCAAGGAGTCAGTAGCTGAAGTCACACTTCTGCATCCCCCAACACAAGTTTGGCACCATTCCAAGCCTTGCAATCTCGCAGAACGAAACATTTTGATTAGAGCCGTGGAAACCCTTTGATGCCAAAACCCCCCAAAGCCACTTGGAACACAGCTTATGTTCCACTGAGCAGCTGTCACACGGCTGTTCCAACAGCCATCAGGTACTGACATTGTCTGTTGCCATCATTCAGCACCACCGTTGTCGAATCAGGGCATTAGTACAGAATCTGTGACTATTGTTTTAGAAACAAAGCGGCTTTTTCATCCCTGTTAATTTTTGATGAAGACTTTGGCATTTGTTTAATAGTAGAGGTGGACAGTTGCTGGATGCTCCAGTACAATCCAATTCTTCACATGTCACTTGGATGTGTGTCTTTGGGCAGCTACCTTTCCATTCCTCCTCTGGGCTAAATTCAGAGGTGCCAAGCATCGCCCTTTCTTCAGACCAAAAAGGATGCTCTCTCTGTGGCCTGATTTCTGAGGTTGCCCTTTGTCTTTCTTAGAGTTTGATGTGCAAGCAAGCTTGATTCATTTGGCAGTTGTTTCCCTTTGTTGCAGGAGGAAAAGGCCAAAGCCTACAAAAAGGAAAAACAGAGAGAGAAGAAAAGGAGGGCGGAAGAAGACTTGGCGTTTGAGGAGGACGATGAAATGGCAGCCGTGATGGGATTCTCTGGCTTTGGCTCAACCAAGAAAGGCCACTGATAAGCCATGGACTTTCCTTTGGACTTTGGTTGTTTCTGTCCAGGTGATGCTTGAGAGACCCTTGGAAGACTTTGCAGTGAATTTGTATCTAAACATCCTGGTAGACGATGGCTGCAGGAGCTGGGAGGCAATCCCATTCCTTCTGTGCGGGGCTGGCTATGCCTTGCCATCACTAGTACCTTCCTGCCTGCAAAGATAGTGTCACACATTGACTGTATGGTGGTAAACCTCAATATTGAATAAAGAACTTTATATTAGCATCTCCCCTCTCCTAACCTCCTTGCAATACTTTGGGAAAAAAAAAACCCTTGTCGAACTTGCTCCTACTTTTTTAATCTTTTCATTGACTGTGAAGCATGGAGCTGGATGTCCCTTTAGAACTCTACATTTCTTGGCTTTGGTTGCAGCTGTCATTTCCCTTTAATGAGTTCTGCTTGCTTCTCACTTTGTGTTGTGTGGCCCTGTGTGCACGAGAGACATTCTGCTAGGTATATATATTTTTTCTGTTAATAAACTGATAAAAATCATGTGCATGGGGGTTTCTTTGGGAATTGTTCTTCCATCTATAAAATGGTTATAGTATATGTCATCCTCGCAGATTGAGCCTAGTGTATTTTTTCTTTGACAAACCATAGGAGTTTATTATAGCTTTTATAGTTAAGAATGAAGTTGTTTGCACTCTGAGCTTACTGAAATGTAGTAGATCGGGGTGTCAACCTCATTTTCATTGAGGGCCACGTCAGCCTTATGGATGCCTTCAAAGGGCTGTTGAATAACAATGTAAGGATACAGAGGGTCAGCTATCATTAAAAAATAGTGGCCAGTGGACTTTAGTTTTTACTCAGTTTGGGTCCCTAAATGTTCCTGAACAATAACACCCATCACTTTTGATTATCCGCCATGGAGACTGGGGATAACCCAACAGCCCTTGAGGGTCTGAGGTTGAGGAAAGGAGAAAGAACATTTTAAAGTCAGACATCATATCCACAAGCCTTTTATCCAAATTCATCTCTACTATCTTGACCAGACAGAACCTACTGTAGCCTTTCAGATCTTACTGTACCACAACTCCTATCAGCTCTAGTGATGAACTCTAATGATGAGGAATACAGGAGTTTTCAGGGCCGGGCTGTAGCACAGCAGGTTAACCGCCGACTGCAGTAATAAATCTCGCCAATTGAAGTGTTGACAGTTTGAAGCCCAGGTCAGGGTGAGCTCCTAACCTTCAGCCCAGCTTCTGCCTTCCTAGCACATAGAAAACAGCAATTGTGAGTAGATAAATAGGTATTGCTTTAAGTGCGGAGGTATTTTAAAGGCACCCATCAGGAAATGCCAGAAAAATGTTGGCAGTTTGATCAAGGAGGAAGGTTATGAACAAAAGCTCTTCGGCAGGGAAGATGGAACAACAACACCTTGCCATGGCCGGAACTGAACACAGCCTCCAAGATGCCGAAGATGGGAAAGTCTATATACCTTTATCTATTATTATTATTATTATTAAACTTTATTTGTACCTTGCTAGCATCTCCCGAAGGACTCAATGCCGCTTACAAAGGCCAAGGCCTCAACACAACAACAGCAAACAATAACAATAACAACACGATACAAAGCAAATTAAAAACATAAGCAATAATAAAACATTACACTATTACGCAATAAAACCAGGGCCGGGGCATTGATGGGTACAGGTTAAAAAAGTGCTGGGTGTGACAGATGGTATGTTGGAATTCTGGGCAAGTGCAATGTGCAGAGGGTCTTAAACTCAAATAAGGTGCTTCTGGGGACACAGTGCTGGGGGTTGTCCTATTCTATTCTATTCTATTCTATTCTATTCTATTCTATTCTATTCTATTCTATTCTATTCTATTCTATTCTGTACAGTTGCCTGTCTTGTCATTGTATAACGGCATTGAATGTTTGCTTTATATGTGTTCTGTTATCTGCCCTGAGTCCCCTTCAGCTTGACAAAGGCGGAATATAAATACTGTAAATAAGGAGTTGTAGTTCAGTATCTGGAGGGCCACATAAAATGACATGGAGGACCAGAATTCAACACGTGTAGTAGATCACTTATGACAATGATAACCTTTCTTTATGACCTTCTCAGTGGTATGAAGAAATGAGTTAGGATAGCTGGAGAGGGTTTCAGAACCATATTGCAAATGTGGAAAAATAGAATCAAGAGAACCACAGAAAAGAAGATAATTGCAGGAAATAGCAGCGAATTGTGCCCTCTTCTAAAACAAGAACCTGGGATTTCTCAACAGGAGCAGATGACCTTGCTGGATATTCATCTCTGAAAAACAAAACTCAATACACAAAATCCCTAGTTTAAAAACAGTTTTCAAGGTTACAACTATGAATTGCCCTCTCTCTTGGATTTGCTTGTACTGAGAAGGAATCCCAGATGAGTCTGTGTCTCTGTCTCTCTCCTGTGAAGCTAGAAACAATTTCTCTGTATTTTAGTTCTTACAGACTGTTGAATGCATATTCCTAATTTTTCTGTAAGCAGGTGAGAGGTGTGGGGCTTCTTCCCCCATCTTGATTCAGGTTGGAGAAGTGTTATCTGTCCTGCCTCAGCTGCTCTTTGTGCCCCATGTCATTTTCACTGCCTTTTTTGATTTAGTTCAGCCAAACCTGCCGTGACTCATTCATTGCCTTTTTCAGTTTAGGGCGATTTACATCTGGTGTGGCTGATTTTCATCGTGCCTTCCTTTTTATATTGATGGGATCATTGTTCTCACCTTTCTCCGTACCTTTATGGAATATTGAGCCTTCTTTCAAATACATGTAGAATAAATCCTATCGTGCTTTGCTGCTGTTTTAATTCCTTAATCTTAGACTGCTGACAGCTTCACTGCCTCAGATATTTCCACTTCAATTCAGATTATAATCCCTATTGAAGATGCCATTGAAATGATACATAGCCCGTAGCACTGCCAGCTGAGATACAAATGTCCTTGGAGACTTGACCCTTTAAACTAAAGGAAAAAAATCCCTTTAATGTGCCTCGGATTCCTTCTGTGCACCAAATAGAAATGAGCATTTAATTCCAACCACGTACCTGTCCACATTCAAACCTAAAGAGTAAACTCCATTTGAATGTGAGAGAGAAATGAAGCCTGTGACTAAATATCCGACAAGATTTGAAGGGAGGAGGAGGCGCGGAAAAGCAAGTGAGATTACAGTGCTGCCGAGCTCTTTTCATGCCCATTAAAAGTTCTGTACATTTGGATTATTTTACCCTAGGTAGAAGCATTGTAGCTTTTCAAAGCCCCCTTGTCCTCTGTAGACATATTTACAAACTGCTCATTATTGCACATTGAACTAATTGAGTTTGGTTAGTGTTGATGAGAAATGGCATGGTCCAGTGGATCCCTGATGGAGGTGGGCCCTGGGACCTGCTGCGTCCTCATCCTGACTCGAGAACTACTGCTGCTGCTGCTATGTGGTCTTGACAATGGGATTTTCAGAATTAAATGTCACTTCGGGAATTATAAGCAGTTGAACAAATGCTAAGTGCTGTTGTAGCTGTGGGCACAATCGGAGGCCTTCCTCTTTCTTTTCTCCCCACAGTGCCCTTAAGGAGAAAAGGTGGGCTATTTTTATATAAAAGATGGGATTTTTTTTCCACCCAGTAAAAGACGACTAGTCAGAATGGTAATGTATTATCTCCAGTTCATGACGCTTACTTACTTACTTAGGCGATCCTTCGTCGTCCGAGTAGGATTGTCTTCCAAGATCGATGTACTGGCGGTGGGTCCGTAGGTGACTGTGGAACCCTATTCTTGATCTGCATGTTCTCCATTGGTTTCCGGATGGAAGACGGTCCCAGTTGGGGTTGGTTTGATGTGCCTTCCTCTTGGCACGTTTCTCTCTTTCACCCTCCATTCGTGCCTGTTCAAATTCTACAGCACTGCTGGTCACAGCTGACCTCCAGCTGGAGCGCTCAAGGGCCAGGGCTTCCCAGTTCTCAGTGTCTATGTCAGAGATTTTAAGGTTGGCTTTGAGCCCATCTTTAAATCTCTTTTCCTGCCCTGTTTTCCATTCTTGAGTTTAGAGTAGAGTAATTGCTTTGGGAGACGGTGGTCAGGCATCCAGACAGCGTGGCCAGTCCAGCGGAGTTGATGGCGGAGATCATCGCTTCAATGCTGGTGGTCTTCGCTTCTTCCAGCACGCTGACATTTGTCCACTTGTCTTCCCAAGAGATTTGCAGGATTTTTCGGAGGCAGCGCTGATGGAATCGTTCCAGGAGTTGTATGTGACGTCTGTAAATAGTCCATGTCTTGCAGGCATATACCTGGTGGTCTTTGCTTCTTCCAGCATGCTGACATTTGTCCACTTTTCTTCCCAAGAGATTTGCAGGATTTTTCAGAGACAGCGCTGATGGAATCATTCCAGGAGTTGCATGTGACGTCTGTAGATAGTCCACGTCTCGCAGGCCTATAGCAGGGTTGGGAGGACAATAGCTTTATAAACAAGCACCTTGGTATCCCTATGGATGTCCTGGTCCTCAAACACTCTGTGCTTCATTCATAAAAATGCTGCACTCGCAGAGCTCAGGTGGTGTTGTATTTCAGTGTCATTGTTGACTTTTGTGGAGAGGTGGCTGCCAAGGTAGCAGAAATGGTCAACATTTTCTAATGTTACACCATTAAAATTTATTTCTGGCATTGGAGAGGGATTGGTTGGTGACTACTGGAAGAGTACTTCGGTTTTCTCAATGTTCAATGACAGGCCGAGCTCATATGCTTCTGCGAAGGTGTTTAGAGTGGCTTGTAGGCCTTCTTTTGAATGTGCACAGATGACATTGTCATCAGCATATTGGAGTTCTATAACATGTTGTAACCTTCGTTTTGGCTTTCAGTCTGCTGAGGTTAAATAGCTTACCATCTGTCCGATAGATGATTTCCACTCCGGTGGGAAGCTTCCCATCAACAAGATGAAGTATCATAGCAATGAAGATGGAAGATAAGGTTGGGGCAATAACACATCCCTCTTTGACACCTGATTCCACCTTAAATGGGTCACTTTGGGAGTCAGTGCTGTCCAAGACTTTTGCCATCATGGAGGAGCCACAGGATGTTCACAAATTTGTTAGGGCACCCGATTTTTTGGAGGATGGTCCAGAGAGCGCTGTGATTCACTGTGTTGAATGCCTTTGCAAGGTCAATGAATGCCATATACAGAGGTTGAATTTGTTCCCTGCATTTTTCTTGGAGCTGTTGTGCAGTGAAGATCAAGTCCACTGTTCATCTGGAGGGATGGAGGTGGGCCTTGGGACCTGCTGCATCTTCATCCTGACTCTAGAACTACTGCTGCTGCTGCTATGTGGTCTTGACAATGAGATTTTCAGAATTAAATGTCACTTCGGGAATTATAAGCAGTTGAACAAATGCTAAGTGCTGTTGTAGCTGTGGGCACAATTGGAGGCCTTTCCCTTTCTTTTCTCCCTACAGTTCCCTTAAGGAGAAAAGGTGGACTATTTTTATATAAGATGGGATTTTTTTCCACCCAGTAAAAGACG